CCGCCCATCCACGCAGGTTCCAGGGATTAAACCCAGGTAGTCAGGCTTGGGAGCAAGCACCTTTGCCCGCTGAGCCATCTTGCCAGCCCTTTGCTCTCTTCTCAAACTATGGTATGAGTTTCCCAATGAGATAAGGATGAATATCTTTTTACTATTACCATATGTATCCGTATCATCTTTTTTTTCTAAAGCTGTAATAGAAGATGACAAGCATTTTAAGAACAAGAGAAAATGTGTTCCAACCAGTCAGTTCAGGTAATACATAGCAAAGACAATACTGAGCTCTAGGCCTCCAGTTGTCAATTCAACATCTGCCCCTATGCCTCCATTTGCCAATTTAGGATGCCGACTCCTTTGGGGCTGGGCTTTGAGACTGAGTCTTGCTATACATCTAGACCAGGCGGGCCTCAAAGTTATAGTTCTATTTCTGCCTCCGTAGGAAACTGAAACTATAGCACACACCATCACACCTAGCTAGCACACCTCCTTGAATAGAAAACAAAGTCAGAAAAGCACCACTTAACATAACTGGGGTGGAGTTAGTGCTCAGAAATCAGTAAATCTATCGGTAAGTACTTAGCAAAGACGTTAGCTTCTTTTCTAAAGAAGAGTATCAAAGATAGAAAGTTCTATTAGGATATAAAGACAAAAGCAAAAAGTTTGTTAAAAATACAACTACAATTTCCTTGGTAAGATATTAAGTATCTTACAGCCACTTTGAGAAAATAATAATTAATTTTATCATACGGTCATATAGGAAACTACATGAAAACACAATGAAATAAAACCTGACAAGGACTACCATCCTGACCAAGTTTGTAGTCACATTGCCCTCCTCATGTCTGTGAATGAATGAGTCACCATGCACACACTACTGTGTAAGGAATATGAATGAAACAAAATGTTTAATGGCTCAGATAAAAGCAAAATATTTCAAAGCAGTAAGAAAAAGCAAGAAATAGAATTTTAAGAAGCATCAAGTAAATTCACAAGGAACAGAGAAAAACTATAATCAACATTTTTGTTAATTTTAAGTTGAATTATACTTTTCTTTCAAAAAGGACACAGATAATCTAAATCATGTCATCATAAAACTGACTAGAATAATTTAGTCTATATCCTATATTGGCCCTATTTATCTCCTAGTTAAAAGTGGTACTTCTTCTTAGATAAAAATTATATCACCGTAATATTTATGTTCAAGACATTTTTCTCAAATGAAAAATTTAAGCACAAAATCATACAAGAAAGTACTGTTTTGAAAACAGATTTAATTTGAAAAAAGAATGTTTTATGTACAGATGTTTGAAAGCAGGTGAGACCACGTGGTCAAATAATTTTTAATCCCACCCTGTACTAAGTCATTAATCTAACAGAGAACAATTTCCCATGTCGTCATGCAGCAGTGTGTCTGGCCTGCTCCCACCTCTCTTCAGCACTGTCACACTTCACACGAGAGTGGAAGGCAGCAGACTGCTTGTGTCAATGACCTATTTCTAGGCCCAAACCCACTCAGGTCCCCTGCTCTCAAGAGCTCTTCTCATACACAAGTTCTCTGAAAATCAGATTCCAAGCGAACCTGCACTGTTCTTCCCAGTTCATTTAAACACTGCTATTCCAAATCTCAGACATTCTCAAAATGCCGTGTGAACAAATGTTCCTGCAAACAATCATAGTTTATAATATTTCATCCAGAACACAATTTCAACATGGTAATGAATTAAAAAAAATCTCTAGAATAAGAAACCTAGGGAGCTGTTAATTTTCAAAGCAAGATAAATGCATTGTATATGTAATTATTGATGGGACCTTTGCCTAAACTGAAACTCAGAGAACAAACTTTTAATGGGTTATTTGAACTAAGGAAAAAGGAAACAGATAAAAGAACTATATCCTATTTGTCAATGTCCACTGAAGACTTCAATAAGGAGCCCTAAGTCAGTGCTTCTCAACCTTCCTAATGCTGCAACCCTTTAGTTCCCTTCCTCAATGTTGTGGTGATCCCCAGCTATAAAAGTATTTCATTGCTACTTCATAACTGTAGTTTTGCTACTGTTATGAATCAAAATGTAAATATGTGATATGCAGGTTCTCTGATAGGCAACCCCTGTGAAAGGGCTGTTCAATCCAAAGGGGTCATGACCCACAGGTTGAGAGCCACTGCCCTAAACGGACGACTCTTGGCTGGTCTGAATTTTTACAAGACAGCAAGGGGTGAGTAAGAGACTCATCCTACAGGGCAGAAGCCTATTTGAGAAGCTCTTGAATGCAGGTACTTTCTGTGGGTCAGAGAAGGTACTTCAGCAGCACAGTTGTTCAGACTCCTGCTGTTTAACAGTGCCAGCCTCCTCCAGGTAAACTGCTGCCCACACCTCATGACAGCCACTTAAACAAAGCAGAGCCTGACATGGGGAGCGCCAGAAGAGACCTGACTCTTCGAATTTGCCGCTGACATAAAAACCACATCGCACAGTACCGGGAAACTTCTAAAAGAATGTTCATAGCAGCTCTATTGTCAACAAGGCCCAGCAACAGTGGAATGGATAAATAAACAGTGGCATTCCCACACCCAGAATACGCCAAAGCAATGTGAGGCCAACTGGTAATCACCAGCCACTTATGGTTACAGACTTTCAGGTGACTGGTGTGACTGGGTGTGTTGTAAGCACGAAACAGACACCAAATTTCAGACTTCACATGAAAAATTATAAATTTCCCCATGATTATGGGAAGAAATATCCTGCCAACCTACACACACATATACATGCACACACACACTTTTTACAGCATCACAGACACACACAAAAACCATTTTGAACTATGGGTATTGCTTTTGACAACTCATCATTATAGTATAAAATTAATTCATTAAGAGGAATATACAGAATTTTACTTACAAATACTAAATAGGTAATTACAAATATTAAAAATCTGAAAATAAGTATGATAGTGATCTAAAACATACAAACATTATTTTTGTGGAAGCAGTATTTATTAATATAAATCAGAAAATGGCATTAATATTATTTTTGCCTTTTATTTTTTACATTGTGTCTACTAGGGCCACACTGCATTTCTATTAGACAGGGAAACATCCAAGAAATGACAACAAATAAATTCCAGGCACATGAAACAACATGGGTAAATTCTACTATTAAGACTTGAAGTGAGCCGTATAGGAACCATACTGTATGATATATATAGTTTAAAAACAGATCAAGCTAACCCTGTAATTAATGATGTAAAAATGTCACTACCACTAAGGAACTGATTCCAACACAAATCAGAGGAGCCTGAAGGGGACGGCATGGACCCCTCCCTCACAAGTGCTTAGAACGGCCTGCTGCTTGGCCTGGCCTACATGCTGGCCTGCTGCACTTGTTAACTCTTTTGTGACTTCATTACAGAGTGCCATCTCACAGCTTTGCAATGACCTAATATGGCTTTCCTTAAACATTTCTATTTGTGCTATGGTGTTGAAAAAACTCACAAAACTAAAAGATTAAGGTTGAATGACTTGTCCTATAACTCAAAATAATATAACTAAATACATTTTTTTTCTTTTTTTTTGGGGGGGGGGGCGGTTTCGAGACAAGGTTTCTCTGTGTAGCTTTGCGCCTTTCCAGGGACTCACTTGGTAGTCCAGGCTGGCCTCGAACTCATAGAGATCCGCCTGCCTCTGCCTCCCAAGTGCTGGGATTAAAGGTGTGCGCCACCACCACCCGGCAACTAAATACATTTTAGTAACATCAGAACTCTCTGCTGCTTAGCCAAGATTGTGATACCTCAATGCATTTATTTTTATTATTTATTTATTATTTTAAAAAAAGGCGTTCTCTGTGTAGCTCTGGCTGTCCTGAAATAATCTCTGTAGACCAGGCTGGCTTCCAGCTCACAGAGACCCGGGCACCTCTGCCTTCTGGGTGCTGGGATTAAAGGTGTGCACCACCATGCCCATCCCCTCAATGTATTTTTAACTGCTTACGAAATTACTTCCACATGTTTTAGAAGCACAAACAACCTGTGCTGAGGCCAGAAGTTAAAGCCTTAGGTGGTACCACCTAAGGTGAGATACACCAGGTTTGATTGTGAGCCAGGGTCTCTCACTGACATGAAATTTGAGAAGTAGACTAGGTAGGTTGGATGGCAAGCCCCAAGGATTTTCCTGTGTTTGCCTCCCCAATGTGCCAGATTACATGTGTGCCATTATGCCTGGCTTTTTAAACACGGACACTGAAAATGTAACTCAGCCTTCTTGCTTGCAAGGTAAGCACTTTTATTTAATAAATGAGCCATCTCCCCAATCTATTATTGTTTACATTTTAATAGTACAATATACGGAAAAAATGTTGGTGGATATTTCTGAACGGTTCCATATATTCTTTAGGGTTAATTTCAAAGAAAAACTGATTTTATTAAAGCTAACACATATCATAAACTCTAAAGTTGTAATGGTTTTCTAAAGTTTATTTTCTTTTATGAGGTACCAGATAAGAAATTCCTGGGCTGGAAAGTAAATTTTAAAGTGAAATATACACATATTCATGTGCTAAAAAGTACAAATTAATTGACAAGCATTTTGTATAACTAATATCTAGTATTAAATGAAATGTTACTAAACTAAGAATCAATTTTTTAACAAAGGAGATTTTTCTGATCACAAAAAGCTTGCTACTTCAAATGTGGTATAGTATCCATGTAATCCCAGGGCAGGTGGGAAGCAGAGGCAGGAGGCTGAGGAGGGACAAATTTGATTTCAAGGCCAGCCTGAGCCACATCTAACAAGACCCCATTATCTGTCTAGCTCTCCCCAAAAGGGGCTTGCTTTCTAGCATGAAATCTTTTAAAAGAAATGATGTAGGATATAAAGCTAAGCTAACCTCTCTCTATCAAAGAGCATTACTGATGACTTATTTCTCATACTTAATTCATTTTATGCATAATTGAACTGATAAATGAAAAATAATCCAGAGAAAATGGACATCATCTGTCATACTCACCGTGAACTTGGTTGATTTCTGAATTCTGGGAAAGGATTTCATCTGCTAGCTTTTGAGCAGTTGGCAAGACTTCTGTGTGGTGCACTGTAATCAAATACTGGACAAACTTCTGCAGCTGGTCTCTGTTCATCTGGAAGAGAGTCTCTGAAATGGGAAGATGTAGTTTGACCTGATCGGGCTTGCGGATGCGGTATAAAGACAGTGCCACAACATGGGCACAGTAAAATATGTCCTTGTTTCCACAGCTGCAGGTCACTGAGGTAATCTTGCAACGATCAAAGCTGATGGCCACATTGCAAATGGTTTCTGGCTCCGATTGTACTGCAGGCTCTGTCACTGTACCACTCAAGTGGAAACCTAGGTGACAAGAAAGGCAAAGTTCAGCGTCTGCACTCAGGTGCTAAGGCAGGTCCTAAATCTTGCAAACAGGTGGCTCTGGACAGCAGAGCCGGGAAAGGAACAGGTGGAAACAGTCAAGCCAGTAATAAGCACCAGCTTCTCTACCAGGGATGAAAAGACAAATGATAATCAACAGCACTGAAGTGCTCTGAACAGCAAAATTGAAACACTGACTGCAGCACACCTTGATCGTGGTGATCACTCCTGCAGCACGCAGTCACTCCACAGCATCGTTCCTGTACTCGTGCGTGGGACACACGACCAAGATCTACATCAGTGGGACACTAGTGGTCTTCCGTCTTGTACGTGTACATTTTAAAGTGTAAGTCACCTGCCTTATTCAGTTTTTTTCTCATCCAAACTGACCCCTCCCTTCACATTTATTCCAGTCTGCCACAAAGCTACCAGTCAACACTGTAAAGGTAGGGAGGTCCCTTTCACTAACTTTGACCAGAGAAACTTCTTAATAATCTTTTCTGTATATACACATATATGTGTATATGTGTATGTATGTGTGTATATTTATATATACATATTATATATATAATATATATATATGTATATATACACCCCCACATTGTATCTATCAACGGCAGCTACAAGGAGAGCTGTAAAACCTACAGCTGTTCATGCATAACACATTCTGAATAACTTGCACAGAGGAAGGCTTAGGTATAACGTTAAATACATACATAACTCCCTCCACAGTACAGTATCACCAATAAGAAAAGGGCATTAGAGGCAATGCACCTTTAATTCAGAACCAGACAGAAATCTTACAAGTCCCACCATCAATGGCCAGTTGGACACTGCTTATAATGATCCAGAAAAGCAATGCTCACCCCACTGAGGAAGCCATTTGCCCTTGGAGAGTTCTAGGTAAGCCAACTGAAAATGCCTCCCACAACCACTGTGTAGAATTGTGGCCTACCTGTCCAGTGAACAAACCTGTATGTTTTCCCTGAATGCATTCCTAAATTCAGCTACCCTGAAGTTTTGGGGGTGGGGCTGGGTAGAGGCAGGGGATAAACATCTATTCAGCCAGCCACCCATCCCCAAAGACACACTCATTTGGTGAGGGATAAACCTGAAGCCAACAAAGAGATCCCTTTGGGAACATCCAGGGCTCAAATTTACCTCATGATTTCAAATGCCTGACAGAAACTTGAGTGCTACCTAAATATGGAGCCTCAGCATTCCTGGCCTTCTGCGATCTATGCTAAAAACTGTTTTTTAAACTGGTGACTGAGTTTCCCTTTACAAGCTACATGAAAACTGGATTAAGTGATGCACGCGGCCTGAGAGGGACTGGCAGACAACATCAAGAATTCACTTGACACCAGGACCTCACTCACTGTGGCCTCTGAGTTACCTAGACCACTGCTCCAAAGAAAAGAGAACTACAGTGAGGTAGTTTCATCTTGACAAGATAAATGTGTTGTAATGATTCTTTTTATCAAATAAATCAATTTATAAAGGGTGTTCCATAAACACAAACTATTGTTTCATAATACGAAAATTGGAAAACTGGCATATAATAGATATTTGGGTTTTCTCCCCTACAAATATAATCCATTTAAAAATAGACATTCTATTTTCCTTTATCACTTTGATCATGTGGTCTCTGAACGGGGATACAATTAGGGAATGGATATGTATAAAATAGTCTTTTGATTCCTATGTTTTTACCCATTAAAAGAAGTTAATACATAAAGAAAACACCTTAGAAAATATCAAAAATGAAAAAACTAAGAGCGACTTTGCCTTAGTACATACCAGATGCACTATATGTAATTATAAAAAATACATGGGATAGGCAAAGATAAGACCAAAAATGTCTGACTCAGAAGAAAGGCCCCAACCATATTCTATACATTAGTTCAAGGAAAACTGTTTCCATATGTCACATATTTGCATGTACGAAAGCCAGATACCAAAGCATGTAAAGTTGTAAATTGGTATTTATAAGATGAACATCTTCCCACTCAACACAATCACCCTCTCCTTGCCCAGCACTCGAAAGACTTTGTCCCTCCATAAAAATTATATCGGAGAACTCTAAACATAGACAAAGCCCATAACTGAGGACTCAAAAGAGCAACACTGGGTAGTAAACTGTCTACAATACAGGCTGGAAGGGTAGCACATTCCTTGCATGTTCCAGGCCCTGAGATCAATCCTCAGAAACATGTATGAGGCATACACAGACACACACACAAAATCACCACCATCATCATAATCAAGAGTCAACGAAACAATAGGTGCTCTAAACAACACTAATCTAATTATCATTAAAGAAAAAAATCTTAAGACAACTGATGAAGCCCCCAAAGAGCTAGTGCAAAAATGGTATTTATTAATGTAACTTATATAGTACAAGTCAGAAAGGGTGAAGTTTTTGAATTGATATAGTACTATTAAAATGGAGGGGGTATTCCATATATTATCCAATTGCTATAATAAACATTGATTATTCTTCTATTCAGATTTTTGAATCAAACTGTAAAATATTTAACCTCCAAAACAACAATCCCAAAGACATGAGGTCACAAAATACAAAATATGTCACAAAACTTCATTAATCTGAGCTCATCAAAGATTAAGGTATTTCATAATTGTTCTTTTTTAAATTCTAACACCATCTTTCAAGTGCCCCAATTTCTTAAAAAATTTCAGCCTTCTCTGATGGAAATATTTCCAAAGTCTAACAGTCCACTGCTGGCTGTCTTATGCCCTGCCACCCTACCCAGCTGAGCGTGGATGAACAGGGAGGCATTCCCTGGACTAAATGCAGGCAGCAGCTTTGAAAACCAAGCTATTCTTTCTGCTTTGTCCATTCGACTACCTTGACCGCTCTTCATGTGGCTCATCTCTGTCAGGGAAAGCACCGCTGTGAGCTCAGCTGTACCTCTAATTGGATAGTGCAGCAGTTATTTAACACACGAAGTATGATTTGATTTGGGGGCAATTTTCCTTTGCCTTCAGGTAAGGATTATGAAGTGAGAGGCTTTACCTCAAATATAGAAAAATCACATAATGATATGTAAAAGGCAGCTCTGGACAACTTTCTAAGACTATGGGGTACTGAGTTTGTATGAAGAAATTTCACTAGGCTGACTTCAGGATTCTATAATGGTATTTCAGCCTCTTCACCTTGAGCAACTGTTGAAGTTCCACTAATAGTCTGTGTATCCTAAATCATGTCAATGCACATGGAAGAGGAGCGGAGACTGTGTCCCTCCACCATACCAAGAGGGAGGGGGAGATGTCCTGCCTCACGGGAGACTCCATCTCCCCACCGTGCTTATCCTTAGGTGCTGAGCAAACAGAGACAAGACAACTTCCTAAGAATGGATTTTGTCTGTCTGGAGCTCTGATAAGCATGATGATTATCTGTTTTAAGACAAGAATTGAGCACAGAAAAGAGGCCAATCCTTTACTATCTGGTAACATTTTCAAGTAAGTAAAACTGAAGAAATTACTATAAGCCTTCTTCTAAAATATGTTTAGGCCTGCGTGGTGGCACATGCCTTTAATCCCAGCAATCCACTCAGGAGACAGAGGCAGGCAGGTATTTGTAATTTCAAATTACAGACTGGTTTACACAGTGAGTTCCAGGCCACAGTGAGACTGTCTCAAAAACAAAGAGACGAAGTTCATTTGAGAGCTCCAGGTAAAATGGAAGGCTACAAACTGAGTAATCCGGTCAAGGAGAAGGCAGTGTGAGCATAGCTCTATTCAAAGGGACAGAGAAGGGCTTCAGAAAGTCACAAAGGTGGTGGTACAATGGCTGGGAAGTGGGGAGGAAAGACCGAAGACAGACAGACACAAAACACACACACAAACCAACCAACCAGGAGTCCCAGGCGAGTAGGGATCAGTTGGGTGGCTCTGCGCACGCAGGAGGGAAAGGAGACCTTATCTGAAGGGCAAACCACACAGCAGTAGAGATGAGACTGGCGGGCCTAGTGTAGGACAAAGCCACGGGTCACATGAGCCTCAAATTCAGCTGCATCGTGTCTTGTGAGACAGTGATTCCTCCAGTCATAGCGGAGTCCTCTTTTGTCTTTGTAGATGACTAAGAGGGCAGTGGGCACTAGTCTAAAAAGAACTTACTGTTTAAAACTGAGCTACGCTGAAGACCTAATGACAGGCAACAATCACAAGTCATGGAGCCTGACTTTAATCCGCCACAGTCACAGAGTGAGGCACAGCCCTGTGAGGTCATGGTGGTAAGCAAGGCGGCTGGACTGTGACAAGCCAAAAATGCAGGCATCAGGGGCCTGGTGCAGACAGAGATGTGTACAGGGACAGAAAGGTACACCCTCAATGGCAGGGAGCCAAGCCTATGAACTCAGAGTAACTGTGGGGAGCCTGCGGGCTGGGAGAAGTGGGCAGCCTGAGGTCAGGGTTAGACCAGCCTCTGGAGGTGGTGTCTATCCTTCAGTACTCTAGAATCTCAGAACTCCCGATTTGGTAGAATACTTGACGTCACAGCTGCTTCACTGGGGGGGGGCGGGGGGGGGTAAACCAATATGCAGGTGGGTCTTTGTCCCTACAGAATTCGGTGCTGCCATTGCTTTCCAAGCTCATAAAGCACTTGGGAAACACCTTAGCCAGAACATTAGTGCTAGAAATGAAAAAAATTCTTTGAATTAAATAGAAAATGCAATGGAAAGCATCACCAAGAGACTACAACAAGCAGACCAAAGGAGATCAGGGAGGAAGAACAGATTGACAAAATAACTACATTCAAACAGCAATAAAGGAAAAGAAAATCGAACTAGCATAGCCACATTGGGAGGGTAAGGGAACAAACCCAGTCCACACCTGAAAAAGCCAAGTGCAACAGCAAGACCTTTGACAAGCAAAGAAAGCCAATAATGTGGAGACAGCTCTGGCAGTCAGCAGGTGTGTCCTACACTTTCCCTTCACCAGCATAAAGCAAGAGAAAGACAAGAGCCCCTCAGGTCCAGACTCCCCCTTCATGCTGCACACAACTACCACATGACCCCCCTCATGCTGCATGCACCTGCATCTCTGATTTTCAAGGGAAGAAACCACTCTAGCATTTTTTTACTACTTTTAATAATATTTTCACTTCACTACTGTACTTCAAACATACAACCTTTCTAGAGGATTTTGTTCATACTTTTATTACCCTCCAATCGTTCATCTAATTTTGTATGTGTGCTGTTTTCCAGCACTGAAATCTTTACTCTTCTTCCCCTATTCCTTCTCTTTTGCCCACTTTGTTTCCTCCTGGTTTTCTTTCCAATAGAAATTTTACTCCATCTGAAGGTCTCACAATACCGGACTTCAAATCATACTACTGAGTCAAGGAACAAAAACTGTATGGTACTAGAAAAGACACGTAGACAAATGGAATAGAAAATCTAGAAATAAACCCACATAGCCAGAGCCATCTGATTTGGGGTAAGTGCCAAAAATATATAGCAGGAAAAAAAAAAAAAAGGCAGCCTCTTAAACAAATGGTACTTGGCAAACTAGATACTCACAAGAAAAAGAAATGAAACTATTTCCATTTTTCTTACCCTGCACAAAAAGCAATTAACACAAAATGGATCAAAGGCTTTTGTGGGGAGTGGATGAAGTCTTGAGTGATTCTGCATTACTGACATGAATACCATCATGTCAAGGACCTCAATATCTATCTCATAAGAATGGGACAGCAAAGTCTTCCCTGGGTCAGGTTCAAAGGGCAAGCCTTCTTCTAGTCCAAGTAAAAAAGATTGACCTTTACCTAAACCACTGATGGAAACAGTATCAACCACAGTTTCCCCTCCACACGAGTGCAACCTGCAACTGCTTCCCTATAGAGACCTCCTACCGATACTAAAAGGCACCTTCTAATTTGTTGTACATAATAAACGTCTTCAGCCACATACAATAAACTCACTTCCCGTGTGGCAGTATATAATCAATAAATGCACCCAGCCCATCCAGTCTCAGCTTTTCTGTACATGTCTCTGTGCCTATCCTGTCTTTATTCTCTCTTCACTTTATACACATCCTCCGGTCAAGTCCAAAGTCATGCAAGTCAAGGCTGTCCTTAATTGTAACACCTAAAACTTTGAAATTACTCAAGGAAAATGCTTCAAGATATAGGCACAGACAAAAAATCTAAGGACAAGCCCCAGCAGCTGGCCAGCAGGTAAGAGTCCTGCGGGCAGACCACTCCACACCGCTGCCACCCACTGGATTCTGAAACCTACAAGACCTACTCTGCTACCCAAACCCACCAAACCCATCATCCTCCCCTGGCCAAATTGGAAGAAGAACAACCTCCCTGTGAACAGCCCTTTCCAGCAAACATCAGCAGACCACAGATTCTCTATAGGCACAAGCGCCACCCACATGAGTTGGAAGAACAGGCACAGACAAAACCTACACCAGTTGAAAGAACAGATTCCATAGGTACAAGTAAAGCCCACATCAGACAGAAGAATTGGACAATATACTGGATCTAGGCACCCAAGCCCCCGCAAACCTCAGCTGAGACAACCCTACTCAACCTGAAAAACAGCCAATCACCAGAACCCTTGACCATTCAGGCCAAAAGACAATAAAGGAAATAGACAATAAAGGAACAAAAGACCCATCCAACAAAGACATCAAAAGAATCAACACCTGTACCTATAATTATCCCAACCCCAGATGGGTAAACAGCAGTGTAAAAATACGTTCAACAACATAAAGAGCAATATGGCTCCACCAGAACCTATTGGTTCTGCAACAGCAAGACCTGAACATCCCAACGCAGATAAAACAGAAGAAAATGACCTTAAAAATAACTTTATGAAGATGTTAAGAGGCCCTTAAAGAGGAAATGAAAAATTCCCTTAAAGAAATCGAGGAAAAGACAAAAAAAAATTGGAAGAAATCAAAAAAATTCCTTAAAGAAAGCCAAGAAAAAACAATCAAATGGGTGAAGGAAACAGTTCAAAACTTGAAAATTGAAATACAGAGACAATAAAGAAAACACAAACAGAGGGAATTGTGGAAATAGAAAATCTGGGTGGGTAAATGAACAGGAACTACAGATGCAAGCATAACCAACAGAATACAAGAGATGAAAGAGAGAATCTCTGGTGTTGAAGATACAACCGAGGAAATAGATTCATCAGTCAAGAGAAAATGTTAAATACAACAAAGTCTTAACACAAAACATCCAGGAAATCTGGGATACCATGAAAAGACCAAACCTAAGAATAATAGGGATAGAAGAATAATTCCAGCTCAAAGGCACAGAAAATATATTTAACAAAATCATAGAAGAAAATGTTCCCAACCTAAATAAGGACATGCCTATGAAGATACAAGAAGTTTACAGAACAGCAAATAGACTGGACCAAAAAGAAGTCCCCTCACCACATAATAATCAAAAACACTAAACATACAGAATAAAGAGAAAAAATTAAGAGCTGTAAAGGGGAAAAGGCCAAGTAACATATAAAGGCAGACCTTTCAGAATTAAACCTGATTTCTCAATGGAGACTGAAGCCAGAAGGTCCTGGACAAATGTTTTGGAGACCACAGATGCCAGCTCAGACTACTATACTCAGAAAAGCTTTCAATCACCACAGAAAGGTAAAACAAGATATTCCATGACATGTGGGAGCCCACAAAGATTTTCTAGTGAGATCTGAGCTTGCCTTACACATCAGGGCTGCATTAGGGGATGGCTTGACCATGTGCATGGTCACTAGGTGCCTGGGATGGTCTGCACTTGGCGGTGCTGGCGGGGGGCGGGGTACTTTTGCTCTACCCCTTGGCATTCCTTTTAAAAGCCCTTTAGTAGAGACAGAAGGGGCCGGTGGAATAGGATCCAGGCCATCCTGAGGCTATCCTGTGTTTCTAACTGTCTCTGTCTTCTATACTTCTATCTACATACTTCTCACTTCTCCCTCCTCAAGAGTACTCTGGGAGGAAAAGAGGGAGCTGGTCTCCCTCAATGACAAAACCAAATTTAAACAATACCTATCCACAAATCCAGCCCTAGAGAAAGTACTAGAAGGAGAAAAACCAACCCAAGGAAGTTAGCTGCACCCACAAAAACACATGCAATAAATAATCTCATGCCAGAAAATCCCAAAGAAGGGAAACACACACACTATCGCCGCCACCACCAAAACCAAAAAATAACAGGAATTAACAGACACTGGTCATTAATATTCCATAATATCAATGGACCCAATTCACCTAAACAAAGACACAGGCTAACAAAATGGAAATGAAAACAAGATCATCGCATCCTTCTGCTGCATCCAAGAAACACACCTCAACTTCAAAGACAGACATTACCACAGAGTAAAGGGCTGGGAAAAGATTTTCTAATCAAATGAACCTAAGAAGCAAGCTGGTGTAGCTATCCTAATATCTAACAAAATAGACTTCAAACTAAAATTAATCAAAAGAGATAGAGAAGGACATTTCATATTCATCACAGGAAAAATTCATCAAGATGAAGTCTCAATTCTGAACATCTATGCCCCAAATACCAGGGCAACCACATTCGTAAAAGAAGCATTACTAAAGCTTAAATCACACATCAAACCCCACATATTAATAGTGAGAGACTTCAACACCCCACTCTCACCAATGAACAGGTCTGTCAGACAGAAATTTAACAGAGAAATAAGGGAATTAACAGATGTTATATACCTCAAATGGACTTAACAGACATCTATAGAACATTTCACCCAAACACAAAAGAATGTTAAGAAGAAAGGTCATAGCACTAAGAGCCTACATATAGAATTTGGAGACATTTCACACTAGAGACTTAACAGGACACCTGAAAGCTCTAGAACAAAAAGAAGAAAACTCACCCAGAAGAAGTAGATGACAGGAAATAATTAGAGGACCAAAATCAATAAAATACAAACAAAATGAACAATACAAAGAATCAATAAAACAAAGAGTTGGTTCTTTCAGAAAATCAACAAGACACACAAACCATTATCCAAACTAACCCAAAGGCAGAGAAAGAGCATCCAAATTAACAAAAATCAGAAATGAAAAGGGGGACATAATAATAGACACTGAGGAAATCCAGAGAATCATCAGGTCATACTTCAAAAAACCTAAATTGGAAAATCTAAAAGAAATGGACAATTTTCTGGATAGGTACCACATACCAAAAATAAATTACGACCAGATAAATAACTTAAATAGACCTATAACCCCACAAAATAGAAGCAGTCATTAAAAGACTCCCAATTGGGGGGGGGGGAGGGGTAAGCCAGATGGTTTCAGCACAGAATTCTACCAGAATTTCAAAGAAGAGATAATACCAATACTCCTCAAATGGTTCCACACAATAGAAACAGAAGGAACATTGCCAAACTCATTTTATGAAGCTACAGTAAACCC